AACATAATCATTGTCACAACCTTATTGGTAAGATAATAGGTAAAATTGGATATTGGGAGATAGGCCCTCTGTTTGTCTTCTACGAGCCGTCTACACCTGCTTAAATCAGTTATGGGTTCCTCTGCAATATTTTGGGTATTATCTTTTCGCTTGTCGAGCCATATTTGCTATATGATTGAGAGGCTATAATGGGATTTCCTCTAGGCACGTTTTGCAAAAAAGAAAAGAGCCTTCATCTTGTCAAATGGAAGACGGTTTGCTTAAAATTGGAAGAACGGGGTCTAGGCATTCGTGACATTTCTGACTTCAATCTAGTTGGCATGATGGAGGATCCTTGCTAACCCTTCCTCCTTAATCTCCCGTTTCTTCAAACATGGCTATTACAAAGATTCTTCTATCTGGGAGGTTAAAAAGCATGATTGCTTTTTTGTTTGGAAGGGTGTTCAGAGGGGACTCGATTTTCTCTACCATAATGCCAGATGGATTATTGGTGATGGTTCTTCAGTAGATTTTTGTGCTGATCCATGGTTGTCTAAAACGTTCAAATGAGAGTCCAATGATAGTACTACTCATAGGGACTTGGGTCTGCTTGCCAAACCCAAGGTCTCAGATTACTTGCGTGGTTCTCCTCAATGTTGGGATCTTCCCTCTCCAACCTCTGCTTCCCTTTTTCGAGCTTGGGAGGAGATCAAATCTTTCAAGGTCCCACTACAGCCTAGCATGATTTCGTTGTTTGGGTGCATACTTCTTATGGTTGTTTCTTAATCATATATGCTTGGGATTTCATTAGACGCAGAGGCAGCCCCCAACCCACTATTAAGACACTTTGGTCATCCCCCTCTCATCCCTGGGCAACGTGGTTTTCCTAGTTTTCCCTTCACCAGCGTCTCCCAACTACAACTCCTTTACAGACCAGGGGGGTCATCTTGGTATCCACCGGCCCCTTTTGTTGTAACAATGATAATAACTAACCACCTCTTGCTTTGGTTAGTGCGCTTTCTCACAGGTTATTTCGAAATCCATTGCATGGAGGTGTGGCAAAAGGTTTCCACCAGAGCAATCTGTTACACTCATACTTAGCAAATGGATAGCATTTCGATTCAAATCAAAGAGTCTTCGACATGTTTGGAACTCTCTCTTCTTCACCACGAGTTTTGGTTTTTATGGGAGGAGCACAATAGTCAACTTTTCAGAGGCAAGGCCACTACTTGGCGGATGCTAAGTCTTGGTCTTTTCATACCTCAGAAAGGATGATTGTGCATAACCTCTCCATACAATGGCGTCAGCATATAAGATAGGTCAATGTTCCGATCTCTTGGACCATGCCTCCTCCTCGGCAATTTAAGGTGAATATTGATGGGAGCCCATTTTCAAAATCTTGGTTTAACAAGAAGTGGTGATCAAATAAAAAAATGATTGTGGCCAATTCACTGCCGCTTTTGCAGCTCCACTAGGAATTGCATCAAAATTTTTTGTTGAATTTAGTGCAGTGGAGCAGGTATTGATTTGGCAATTCAGTTCCAATGCTTCCCTCTGATAATCGAAACTGACTCCACCCTCCTTGTCAATTCCATTCATTAAAAGGCCCCTTGGTCACTCCATGCCATGGTAGCCAATTGGCAATATAAACTTTCCTCAAATAAACGTGATTGGTCGATTTCGCACATCTTTCATGGAGCCAACATGGTGGCTGATATTCTTGCTAAAAAGGTTACTACTTACTCTATAGCTACTATTTGGCAGTCCATTCCTCCAAATTTTCTTTCCTTATTGTTGCTTTATGATGTTGCATGGGTGCTCTATGATAGGGTCTTATTTTTCTGAGCTTGTATATCCTTTTTGTTTGTTTTAATGAAAAATCGAGAAAGGGGCCTTATCCCCCATTGATTTACCCAAAAAAAAAAAACTGTTTTTGAACCACACTGAGGGACTTCACGCTCTCTCACAATACTAATAAAGGATTCTACGCTCCATTTGGAGGTTAACTTATATCCACCCATGCCACTCCATGCATGTGAGACAAGTTCTTCTCGCCAACAACGCGAGCAAGCAATGAAACTACAGTGATGGAATCTATACTGCACTAGCAAGCTAATTAAATAGTATACCATAGCATAGTATGGTATATAGTATGGCGAGATTCAAGCACCTTTGGGGACATATTTGATGCCTATTGCTTTATTCACGTCCTGAAGGATGACATTAAAATTGTAAAAGAGTTATCCATAAGGTTCTCATGGAGCACTAGAACGTATTATGCTACTGCCATTCGATCAACTAGAGTTAAGATAGCCCCTGTTCAGGCTTCAGCAAATTGGAATCTGGAGAATGTTTTACCAATTTTGCAAGGGTAATTTGAATTATTGGACTTTTGTTAGAGACATACAGGTTCTAGCAACATTATTATTTCTTGTTGTATAAATTATTTCAACCTCTAACTGGTTTTCTAATTTGTAATCTAATCTGATAACCTAAGTAGTATGGCAAGTATTCTTGCACTCAAATTTCTATCGTAGTGTTGAGAAGTCCTGCAGCTGAAGGGCACTTGTTGTCCTATTTTATTGGATTGCTGATGTTGTCGTACATTGAGTTCTCGTATTCATAAGAAAAAAGGGATTCTCAAATAGGGAGATTGATTCATCCATTCACATTGCTTGGAAATCAAAATCTAAGAAACTTGGGTAGTTTATTTTTTATTTGACAAATAACTCCACCATGGCCGGTCCTAAGCTAGTAATGCTAGTCCCAAGCCTAGATAACGGAAGAGGATTGTGTTAGGTAGGGCAGCCAGAATAAAACTTTGCTACATCTTTTCACGAATCCTAAACCTATGGCTGTATAGGATTTGTGTAGGTGACTCCAAATAGATGGGATAAGGCTCGGATGATGATGATGATGATGTCCATAGTATAGTATGGTATGGTAATAGTGTAGTGAGTCCTCTAGTGAGGCATCGCAAGTGAAACAATGAAGCCTACAAAATGAGAGATCCTCATCGTGCAACATGGCCGAAATCCATATTTTCACACTAGCACTAGTGTGAGCACGTTGTATAGGTTGTTCTATGTTTTGAATATAATCGAATAGTTTTTCCTGGTTTTTTTTTATTTAGATTCACCAAACCCCTCACAACCTGAAACCAAATCTAGGGTGATTGTAATTGGGCATTGCAAGCATACCATTGTTCATGCATTCTAGTGCACAAGTTTCACCAAATCTATCCCCTATGTACTATATGGATTTATAATATAGCGTCAGATGCCTCTGCTAATGCTCATACTACCATTTCTATTCATCTGGATGATAAGAACAGTGCCACGTGGACATAGGGCATTTTATTTGGAAAACTTTGCCATAACGAAAGATGCTCTGGCCTATATTGATCATACATTGGATATATCTACTGTGAACATCAGGGAGTTGGCTCCATGGCTGATGAATAATGCTATAACTGTAATATGAATCCTCAAGTAGACATATATTGGTATTGCATCAAATCTTATTCAATTTATGAATGCAAAGGAAATATTAGCTCTTCTTGAGAAGGTTTATTATCAAACCAATCATGTAGATGTGTAATGTTTGGGCCAGGACTTTGTTTCTGCCACTCATGGCAACAAGAAGTTTCAAAAATTACACTTCAATTGAGTGTGATATGGGGTTAATTCGACAGGTAAGAACATCAATAACCTGCAGAAGCCATGTCTTATTACAGTCTGCAAACAAAACATGATGCATTTTTAAGGTGACTGTACCAGTAGTATGGTACCACTTCATTCACAGAGCAACCTAGTCCAGAAGAAGCCCATTAAAAAGACCTGCATGGGAGACAGGGCAATCACAAAATCTCCATAGTGAGTAGTTCTTGTGGTTGCTGCTCTTTCATGAAGCATTCAAAGAGATCTCTCTAAAGCACAATATCAAGGATTATTAATGTGGAGATATAGATTACTGTGCCACACAACTAAGAAAGGGCTGAGGTGTAACTAGTGCAAAGATTCTGAAATTGTAATCAGTTGATGCATCCTTTCAATGAAAAAAATCAGCACCGACATATTGTTAGTGTCTTCAAACTTGCGAGTCCAACTCCGACCCAGGCAAGTTTACCAAAAACGACAACCTACTGATTTCTTGCTGAAGGCCCTACTGTACACTAGACTGCCCGAGTTCTAACAGTGACTCGGACATTTTTTTGTTGGACTCGGTGAAGGCCATGGGACTCACGCAAGTCCTACAGGACTCACCGAGTCCAATACAATACATATTTAGACATAAAGGGAATAAAAAAATCATGCCTCCCTTTCTTGCTCGTTCTTTGCATCTACTACTCCAATCATCCTGAAAATTCATCCCTGACCCTATATTTTGTATCATTTGTTGAATACAACGCTTAGATTCAACAAAAGAATACTCAAAATCTCAGATTTGTGCAAATTAGAATATCAAAATAGGATTTGCCCAGCCCCCTTTTTTGCATGATGGACTCAGCCAAGTCTCAGTGGGTCAACTCAGGACTCACTGAGCCGACTAGCCCATGGCAGTGGCTAAGTCCAAGAGAGATTCCGAGGATTAAAAACACTGGTTTTATCCACTACCTTAGATGGCTCCTCTAATGTCTAATTGTGTGTCCATTTCATTCACTAGTTCTTCAAGCCTCACCACCTTCTACATAAGTAACACTTGGAAGAAAACAGGGCATAGATCATAGTTTTTCTTTTTTATTGATTGATGACAACAATTCAATTTTGTGATGATCAATTGCCAATGAACAAATTAAATCAAAAGAAATACATAAAATTCCATCTGGAAAATGTCAGAAGGTTTAAGACAGCATGAAATACAAAATATCCATCCCATTCCTCTTTTTTTTTCCCTGAAACTATCCGTTCCATTCCTCTTATCTAACAATAACCAGGTTGTCTTCCATGGCTTTCACCTAGCGACATGAAAGAAGTCATCAATAAAAGTTTTGATAATAAATCGTGGAGCTACACCCTATAGTTCCATAAATTACAAATTCAAGCATGATAGCCTTAATTATAATCACGTCATGTAATATCACGAGAGTTACATGAAAATGTCAAGCCGATGCTTATTCTCATGTCATAATAAAATCCACCAACTCCTCCTTTTTCCAAGTTAACCAACCAAAAGAAACAAAAAAATATAGCATTGAAGTAAAAGCTGATATATTGAAAGGAGAATTATGAGCCAGCGAGCATACGTCATGTCCCTTAGGCGGCATTCGTGAGGGGTGACTTTTTCTGCAACAGTGTTGGTCTGATATCATGGCGTTCCGACGGATACATCAAGATACCTCAACAAGCCCAATGATGATCAGAAGAATTTCATCGATCGTTTAAAAATGAAGACTGAAGAGAGATGAAGTTTGTATAGTTGGAAAAATGTTGCCAATCCAAATAATAATTTTAAACAACCAAAACAAATACAGAGAAACTATGTATACCAGAAAGAAACTATGAAAATTTTTCCGAACAAAAAGACTCAATATGGTTTCAAAGTAAAAAGAAAAAACATAGGAAGAAAATGCATATATACTTGAGAGTAGGTGATTCTTTCATTGGATGGCGCATGAACAATCTTCTTAATTTCATTGTTCACAAAATAATTGAACGAATCAATGTGTTGCTGCACAAGCCCCCTGATCTGGAAAAAATCAAAGGCAAATACAACCAGAATCATTAAATTCATTGGCTAATTGAAAATAAGTGGAAGTTTGAGAAGAACACAATGATGATGATGAATACGTTAAGAACTCTGGGAGCAACTGAAACTTGTCGAGTGCTGTTTTAACAGGGCGAGCAGCGTAATGAAGCCTGCAAAAGGACTCGAAATAAGGTATTTTCAAGCAAGAGATACGAAGTAGATGGAAAAAACTAACAGTGAAATTTTTCCAGCCAAAACGAAACAGACCCAACAATGATTTGAAAGGAAATAGTGACGATCATATCAGTAACACTTGCTAATCTACATTCGCCATTGCTGGCGGGAGAGAGAGGGGCGCGTTATTGTGTCGTAGAGAGAGAAAGAGAAGCATGTTAGTTTCCTTGTAGGAAGGTTTGAGAACGTTGTGAGAGAAAGAGAGAACGGGGAGAGGCGGTCGAGTTCTAAAAACCAGAACCCCAGGAGCGTGGGCGGGAGTTGACCGGAGGGACAGGTGATGGGTGAACTACTGTTTATGTAAGGCCTAGGCTTTATAAAGACAAAGTAGAGCTTCACCTCAAATCCTCGTTGAAAAGGGCTTTGGGCATAAAAAACTCACGGTGGAGGCTTTACAATTAATTTTTTAACATCAAATATAAAATCTAATGCTAAAAAATAGTAAAGATCTTGCGCATCCATTAATACCTAGGGCAAAATAGGCGATCTAGTATTGTATTATGATATACATTTATTTTAGTGCTTAAATTCCTAATTTTTTCACAACTATAGTGTTCTAAACTGATTTGAAGGCTTTTCGATGCCGAACTACAATTTTCATTGATTTTTTAAATGAGGCTTTACTCATTTTGATAGGGACGTAGCCGTTTCAAAATATTTCCATTTAGTTTTAATGAATTTATGAAGTAAATTATGGTAACCTTTCTTCCACCACCACATTATACTATGAGACCATTTATTTTTTACAAAAAGGTCACAATTATAATTCAAATTAGATGGTTTGGGATATATCACGATGTTTAAAACTTTTATTTTTCCTTTGTGTCTAGTTACTGACACTCTTGCAATTTATCCAATCTGAAACAGGGTGGACGAGAGTTTTTTGTGACCTCCTTGTAATCAAACATAGTCTTTTTTGTATAGTTTTCCCTTTCCGCCTTGTTACAATCACTGTTCGTAAAATCGAACCTGAACAGTTAACCTGACATAGGGCTGGGAGAAGTTTGAACCGAAACCGGACTAACCGGAGCGATTAATTGGACTAACAAGTTAAATAGATTTTTTTAAAAAAAATGGGTCTAAAACTCCCCAAAAAAATAAAACAAAAATGGAAATACGTATATTAAGTGTATAAGATATTATAGCAAATATTTATCTTACAATAAAAAATTGAAACAACTTTTTATAAATTAATATTTGAATACTATGGTCCTGTATATGAAAATATCTTAGGATATTTTTTGAAGATATTTTTGTCATGTAACATTTTCTTCCAAGAATTAACATATTCATCCCAAATCTTACATTGAAAACTTTCCAGTGTTTTTTGTACAAAAATCGCTCATGAAAGTTAAAATAACAACAGTAGCGTAATGCTATTAAATCAAATAAAAATGCTAGCTAATTAAGACAATAAATGGAAAGGACCTCTTCCATGTAGTTAGATAAAGCATAATTCATACAATACTTTTTAGATGAAGTTAAATAAGGCATACTTCACAAAAAGTATATCTCATGATATGCAGCAAAATGAAAAATCAATGCACTGTATACAGATATATTCTATTGTTCTCATAAGTATATACCATATCCATATCAATGTGTTGTGCATTGATTTTATCCAAAAATAAGAACAATAGAACAAATAATTTCATCAAAAACTAATTTTATTGAGCAAAATAGAAAAACACTTCCCATATTTATCATAAAACATGAGTTTATTAAAAAACCATAATTTTACCAAAAAATAATTTACTAAGCAAAACGGAAAACCACTTCCCATATTCATCATAAAACATAATTTTATTAAAACGCCATGATTTTATCAAAAAAGTGATTTTGTTAAGCAAAATAGAAAAATAGTTCCCATATTTATCAAAAAACAGAATTTTTTACTAAAAAACTTAATTTTATTCAAAAGATAATTTTATAAAGCAATATAGAAAAAAAACTTCTCATATCCATAAAAAAACATAATTTTACTAAGAAAAATGATTTCTTTTAAAAAAAAATCAATTTCTCAAAATATGAGGGATGATTTGAAATTAAGTTCACTTTTGTAAACTCTCTCTCGCTTTCTCTCTCTCTCTGGAATCGGATCAGATCGAGATCGGCCAGTGACCGATCCCAAGTTAATCGGTCGATTTTTTAAAAATCGGGTGATCTTTTAAAGGCTCTTTCCATAACATTCCAAAAACCTAGATAGAAATTGAGGGAAAAAAAAAGAAAAGAAAAGAAAGAACCAAGCATAAACAAGACGATGGTGTAGTGTTTCATTGAACATAAGACAACCAAAATTTTTACATGCACTTTAAAAAAGAAAATGTCTCCTTTCCATCATTACAAATATAACTATATCATACGCTTAAAAAAACATAATTCCAAAAAATCGAGCGACTTTATCATGTACTTATTAAAAAGAAGAATCAAATTCATCAAAAAAATAATTTTATCAAAATGAATAATTTTATTAAGCAAAATAGAAAACACTTTCCATATTCATCAAAAAACAATTTTTTATTAAAAAATCGTAATTATTTAAGCAAAATAGCAAAAATCTTCCCATATTCATCAAAAAACATAATTTTATTACACAATATTTTTTTAAAAAAAATCAATTTTTCAAAAACCCAAAAAATAAAGCAACATTTCGAGCAAGAAACGATCCTTAATGTTTGGATAATCAAACAAATAAACATCCATGCATTGTAAAGGCTTCGATCATCTTTCAAACGCACCCAATATCATCAAAAAATATTCAGTATTTTTAATTTAATTGAAAAAAGCAGAAATTTCATATCTATGGAATTTTCATTATATGGTGCAACGAAAAAATTCATATAAAAAAATTTATTCAATCATAAATAAACATACCAATTTTATTTGAGATATGAAGCCTCAATGATCGAAATCCACAACTCCATTTGATAAAAAACAACCAATAAATGGATAAAAAATCTGCATTTTGGGTAGAACACATATTCTCTGCACAGCAAGGCAAACATAAACCCTTGATTTTTTGTTTTCTGAACAAATTAAAACTTGAATCTAGTAAATACTTTGAATAGGATTCAAAACCCTCAAATTTATTCAATAACCATTAGGTATTGAGGAGATTATTGGAAGAATGGCAAAAATTTTCAAAAACATACAAAATCCACCATTTCAATCCAAAAAACGTTTTTTTCAATGTTTAAATTTAAATTACTTGTTTTATATTCATTATATAGTCATTTAAACCATTAAAACACGAAAAAGACCAAAAAATGGACGCAAACCGAATAAAAAGGGTGAAATTTTGGATTCATAGTTTTTCGGCTACATATAACGGGCTCTGTGATAAAAAAACGGTCGTTATATTGGCGCGACCATTATATCGTTATATAGGGCAATAAAAACAGTAAACCATACCGCTTAGGTAAACCGACCGGTTTTAAGAAAAAATCGTCGGTTCGACATTGAACCGGCAGATTTTGGATTCAGTTTTTTTTTGGAAAGGACCGTCTAATGAGGTGTACTGTAAAACCGGTCCTAACCGGACATCCACCCCACCGGTAGCGATCTAACCGGCCGGTTCTGGTTCTAAATGGTCGGTTTTGCGAACACTGGTTACAATGGTGTTCAATTCTTGTAATTTTAGGACATCACATTAACTTTAAGGTTAAATAGAGTGTACGCCTACTACCTGGAAAATACCTACTTGGGATGATTTTAGTATAGGACCAAATTCAAACCATATTTTGAGGTAACAATTGTCTGCCACTCATAAAGATAACTTTTGGTGCTGAAAAGAGTTGTGGTGGATATTTTTTTTTTTTTAATAATCTGTAGTAAAATTTTAAGTTCTAAAATTGATGCGCATTAAATAGATCTATAAATATTTGAAAATATGGAAAATGAAAGGTCCTAGTAACGCGCTACGCACTATATTGATGTTCTCATCTTTATTTTATATATATATAGTCGTAGGAGACAAGGCACACAGGGGGATAGG